CCGCTTTGTCGCGCATCATTTCTGGCTGCGCAGTGGCACGGGGTTTTTTTGCCTTGGTCACAGAGTCTGTTGCTCACAACTTCCCTCCCTTGTGTCCCCGTGCCTCCAAGCGAGCATTCAGCACTCTCCCAGTCAGTAACCCGATCGTCTCCTCGCGGCGCTTCCACTCCGCAAACCGCCGATCATCCCCCCCTCCACCTTCGCCCAGCTGGTGGTCGAGCCGGGCTTTAGAAATTGGCCGTGCGTATGTATCTGTCTGATGTCACTGTTGTGTGCCGATGTATTTTCTTTGCGCAGGCTCCTGGACGCGCTTGGCTGCCACTTTGGTGGTCGCATATTGGGAATGGCCAAGATATATTTTCATTTGGATTTGCCATACTACAGAGCACGTGTGCTGCGTGCGAGGTGAGCTGGCCCGCCTGGGGCCGGGCCGCACTGGGCATGCTTTGCGCCAACAGCTTCATAATATACAGACATAATACTTGACGCTGGGGAGCCAGTTACAGATTGCACCGCAGTGCTGATGTTTTGCGCATCACTGCACATAGCGAAACCAGCGACGACGGCTTGGAGGAAAGCACAGTGCGTGCGGGCACTGAGTTGTTGGCTAGAGCAGCAATCCGGCGCAGCTTGCCTTACTAACTCCCCTTGCTGCTTCCCTCAGCCGAACATGTGCAGGGCGGAATGCTAAAAGTGGGCAGTTGAGTACGCGGTCGCCAGGAAATTCCATATTCGGGCGCAGGGAGACAAAGCCGGGAAGTGAGCGTCATTTTGGATGGTGCGCAGTGAAGGCATGGGGTGGCGTAGCAGATTGAAAGTAGTTGCGTGCCCATCCCAGTTCATTTTGCAGAAGTGCTGCCCCTCGGGCCCGGCTGTTGCTTCACTTTCGACAAGTTTGACAAGCTACTCCTAATCATTGGTGTTCCGAAAAGTGGTAAAATTAAGTGCGCGACCTTGCTGGATCGTCGGGAAGTGCGTGCGCCATGCTTTCCACACCTACGCGGAATTTATCGTCCCAGGTCACACCGTTGTTTCAGGCTCGTTACCGAACTTATCTGTATTGCTGAATTTATCCGCATCATCGTCACCATCGCACGCAATGGACACACCAGCTTCTGTTCAGCGAGTTATTACCGAAATGGAAGAGATGCAGAAGGATCCGTTCCTTTACGAGGCAATGACCTGTCCAGTTTGCTTCCAGGTATCACTTCCGAATTTTACAGCCAAGCGCCACTCAGCGACAAATCAGATTGATTGAGTTAGTTTTTGTTGTTGTATTGCTCTCGGCGGCAACGTTTGCTTGACGAATTGCAAAGTGGCCAAGGTAAGAGGGAATGTAGGTTGGTGGTGAGTATCGAGCTTTGGGTAGAGTGGGGCCCAGGAAGCGCGGTGTTGCAAAAGAGTCAAAAAACTGTGCAGGCCAGGGGGAATTGAATTGGCGAAATATTGCTGCAGTCACAACTTTCATTGTGGCAATGAGTGCACTGCCATAATTAGCCTCCTATCGTATTTTGCGCGTCAGAGTTGCTTATTACAATCGGCGTAACAAGAACGTGTTCGATGCAAAAATTTCTATGTGGGAGACTTCTTTCCTCCAGCTCTCTAGGCAGTTTTGCAACTATCAGAACGAGAACCACAGGGCCACTCTTCATATTCACCAGATTTGCATGCCGCGGCAGGCTGCCGCCAGTGACCAGAGCACAATTCAGACAAAATTTTTGTTTCATAAGTTTCAAGCGAGATTTCGAACGAAGTCATTAGTGCACTTTTCCCGCAGCCCAGGTTCCAAAAAACTTTGCAATTGTAGAGACTGACGTTTGGCTTTGTTTTGATGGAAATTTTTGTCAGGAATGCTCGCTGAGGGAAAGTTTGGCATCTGCAAAAACTTGGCTCGACTTGAATTAAAGGTCATGTGATTGCAGTTTGGATGGTATTATAGGCGGAACTGAATTGGAACCTCAGAAGTAGCTGGGAGGACCGGAAATGCTGGGTTAGATAACAGGCGTTGTAACAGAAGGGAAGAGATTGGAATAGTGACCGGAATAGAGCTGAGGCCCTGCCTAAGGGAGGCGGGAGAGGGAGTGGGGTAAGAACTGGAAACAAGAGCAAGGTTTTAGGGAAGAGGGCCGCTACGAATTTTTTATATTCAGCATAAAAGTTGATGCTGATTGAGCTTATTCAAATTTCTAGCTCAGCTTGATAAACCAGTGGGGCAGTTTGGACCGTGATTCAGTTAACTGATGGAATACATAACGATATTGCTGGCAGCAAAGGCAGACTGCAACAACTGCAGCACAAACGATAGTCATGCAACGGCGAAAAAAAAAAAGTTGTTAAACCCATGGCGTGCCTCGGAATCATGTTGAAATAAATCTACGACTAGTTTGGTAGACGATGGAAAAAATGAGATGGAAAATAAGATTGCGGATTTTGTCGTCCTGGGCCTGCCGAAATATAGCTTTTAGAAAAGTGGCAGTTTTTTTTTTAATTTTATTGATCACCTACTGATTTTTTTAAGACTTTCGAAGAGCCAAAACAGCTAC